AAATAAATAATTAAATAAACTTGAACAAAAAAAGCCACAACTTGTAATAAAACTTAATGAAATCGTATCAGCTAAAAATAAAATGACACTTGTGATAGCTATACAACAAACGGGGTCAGAATATAATGCATATAAAGAGAGTGAAGAGTGAGAGAAGATATATATATGCATATATATATATATATGCATAATTTAACATGTGCAGACTTATAGTTTTGCAGTGCATAATGCACGAGTGCCTACTCATGTTTTCAATATTCATAATTGTGTAATTAATAATGCATTAAACGTAATTTAATTAAAAATGCAATACACCACTTGAATGATGGCAATAGTTATCAACGGTTGAGAAAAACCTACGACTAAGAATGACAACACAATAATAAACAACTAAGAAAATTATATTCGGTCGTAACGGAATCTTTTATACCCATCATCATCGTTATTCTAAAAGAACAAACAAAACAAAAGTAAAAGAACTACATTTTCATGGTCTATAATATGCAGTGAGTATGACTGATTTTTTTCTATGTACTTGTAGGCGTGTCCTTGCAAAAGTTTAAATCATCTCTAAATTCTTTTGCAAATTTATGGGCGATACGCGATATATTTACTCGAAAGAGAGAAAGTTTAGCCCAAATACCACAGAGTTGCGCACGTAGACAGACGGACAGACGAATAGGCGGACATGTTTTGCTACATTTCAAGCTTGAAATTGGCCATGAATTTATATACTTTATAGAGTTTTTGAAGCTAATCTCTGCTTCTTATAAAGGTATTGGAAATAAAATTAACTTTTGATACATTATAATATTGGGTAGGCGTGGTCAACTTTCCCCATTTTTGTACAAAAGCGTCTTTCATGGAATATATTTTCAAATTTTTATAGATTTATCCAGTGTAGTATGTGAGTAAAGAGGAAAAACCAATGTTTTCTTCCTTTTGAAAAGCAGAGGTGTTCTCAGTTTACATAACACTGTAGGCTTGTCCTTCAATCAATTTGGTCCTTGTTCAATACCATACTGAGCATGAGAACTTCCAATGTTTCTGCAAAATTTGAAATTTATTTGAAATTAGACTTTGCGGCCCGAAGAATCTTTACAACAGACATCACGGAGACGGACAGACACACAGACGGACATATGTAAATTGTTTTAAAATGTGATGCCAATCAAGAACACATACACTTTATGGGAGTTCTGGTGCTTCCTTCTGGGCATTGCAAGCTTTTTGACAAAATGAATATACGCCTCATCCTTCAATGATAGGCATAAAAATGAATAAATAAAAGAGAAGTAAAAAATTGAAATAAAAGCAAAATTAAACAGTCTGAAGCATTAATTATGTTGAAAAACTAAATGAAGCCAAAATGATTATTGGATGGTTATCTCCGTCATACCTGAGAAACTGCAGGTGTACTAAATATGAAGGCAATGAAATTCAAGCAATAACTATCTATATTATATAGAAGGTAAGCTTAAATTATAAACGTGTTACACCATATCAGGCACGACTCAGTCTAGTGCAATCGTTACAACGTAGTGATATCCGCAGAATGAATGAATGGCGAGCGAAGTCCTTTCATATGCTTTCCATTCCGCCTCATCTGATATTAAAGTCTACTTACTCCATAGTAAAGCATTTTTTATATCGGTTTAAATACCTCTCTTCGATTAATTAATAAATAGTAACCAGTAAGAGCAGAGTACTCGAGCAAGACCGACCGGTATATACCCTACACGAACTCCTTTGTCTAATGCAGCTATTTGCTGTAATATATTAAAAATTACACTTTTTTTATGCAAAGGCGTTTTTTTCATGGAAGCCCGCATATTGGAGGACTCCCAAATTATCACATGACATGATCGAAATTTAGCAAACTCAATTTACTTCCCAAAAATGTAACTGCATTTTAGTTTCCGTCATAAAAAATTTTAAATTGGACTTTCTCTTCATGTAAGTCCTTGCTTTTCATGATATGTTGCGGTCTAAAAAAGAGACTCATGTGACCCAAATACACTAAACATTTATAATTTGGTAAATGACTGGTGTGGACAGATTTTCATTATAAAATATTAAAAATTAAATTTTTTTCTAAAGACTACTTACTATATAGGAGAAACCTTATATAAATTGGGGTCCAAAAAATTGACCTATCTAGCTTCAGATTTGTCCAAATTACTAGCATGACTTTTGTTGAAAAATTTTGAAAATTTCAATTTTTTCTTATTTTGAAAATTCCTTATATGAAAAATGGTCTAGAAAGTGGATTGATCCGAATCATTTCATTAAAATATCTCTAAAATTGCGACCTGTAGCTTTAACACAAAAATATATGGACAGATAAACTTTGATCGATTCAGAAAATCATTCGGAAGCGATTGGTATAATGAAAGGTAGTTCTCTCTTAAGATCTTCTAGGTGTTACATGTGTCTGCACAAAGTTAATATACCCTGTACCACCAGGCGTGTCGGGAATCAGTAGCCTTATCTGTTGAATCTGGCGTCTAGTATAAGACTGACTGACTATTTTAAACTCGGTTTTCCAATCCTGCTATGTTAGTTTATCAGTACAGTACTCCTAATAGTAGAGAATTCGCTAAGCGTTAACAGTGTTAATAGCAAGCCTATAGGCTATAGTGGCCAAGTTATAAATTAAAGTCTTGCGCTTATCGAAAAACATAAACTTGTAGTAATGTCAATGTGCACTGCTTTAGCAGTGGATTTAACAAGCATTTGCTTAATGTATCTCTTGATATATTACAAATGCTTCATAGACTTGTATGTAGAAAGGGAAAATGTAGTTTTTCATGTCTTGTCAGGCATGCTGTTGTTCTTCTCGCATTCAGTGAAGACAAGCGAAAACCTACTCGAAGCACACTTAAGATATTTGAGTCATCTATCCGAGTTTTTCATATCGCGACGCAATAGAGATTGATAGATATAGCGCCGGCTAAATCGATTCTCTATCTTATGCTGATCAAGGATGTGGATAAGTTATAGTAATAAAATCTATAGATTGGGCCGAACCATAAACTGAAAGATGAGTGATTGGAGGAAGATGACTGAGATAATAAACAAACCCGAAGCCTTGAATGCATTCGCATCGTCCATCACGCAATTCAATGTCAAAATATGCTTTCGTTACACCTGTTTACACGTAGTTGAATACATATTGTAGCGTAAGTCCATCCAGTGAGAATTTTGCTTTATTCATTCAAGTCCTTTTGGGGTTAAGTTCATACCACTGAATTGTGATATTTAGGAAAGCTTAGATTTTATTTACTAAATTTGGAAATATATTTACAAATTATCCGTCCGAGTAGCCGAGTAGGCAAGAGTCCCGATTAGCAACTCAATGGTCGTGGGTTCAAATCTCAAGGGCGGTAGAGTTTTTAATAAAGCCGAAAGTCTTTGATGCTAGTGCTTTAGGACTTTAGTCTTAGAATTTATTCTCTGGTTAAATTTATAATAATAATAATAATCATATTTACAAATAATTTAGAGGAATTAATATTTACAAACCGTCGTTGTGGTCTTGTTCGTTCGAATATTGCAATTCATATCTTTCGACTCGACTCGATCAACTCATTTTTCGACTGATTTTTGACTCGACTAACTTGGCTGACCCTGCTCTCCACATAGATTCTGCTTATACATACTTTTACCATTACCGAATTTCATCGCGACATTTTTAATCCGTTAACTTGTTAATCCATTTTCCGCCAAATTTTTGCCAATTGTTCAGCGCTTCGTATCTTTTAACTCTAATCGTTCTAAAGTGAGAGTCTGTGAAGTTCTGTGAGAGATGTCACTTTTTCGTATCTACTTAAACCTTACGTTTTACATTTCACAAGTGCGAACATTTTTGCCACTGCGGGATCATTCCAGTTACGAATGAGAGGCAAATGGAGCTTCACCAGTTCCGTAACTTAAGTCTTTAAAGAATGCTTCTGAGAAAACCATCCAAGAGTAGGTATTGTATAAATGATTTTCATTGATAACATTTAATAAGATCTCTGGAAAATTTTTTAAAGTGAGACATCCTTACCAAATGAGCGATATGTAAATACTTCGCTACACTCTTTGTTCGAAAATATGATTAACATTTGATACGAAATTTAATCCATAACCTTTACACTCCCAATCATTGTCCCGTTTCCAATATAATCAGATTACAATCACATTGGCTTTTCTTATTATGTCCTACCTATCACTTATGGTGCAAGGTTATATTGCGGACACCAAGAAATGCGTCCACCATTGTGGAGCTTTTCGCGATTTGGAGGAGAAACATCCTCACTTTTTGGTGTGCTGGTGTAATTTATTTAAACAGAAGAAATTTATAAATGTTTTATTATTTCGAAAACGAGTCTCAACTGAAAAAGAAATGAAAAGCCAATCCATAAAAATAAAAAATGATATCACAAGGCTGCAGGAATTTAGAAAATTTTTATACTAACTCCGAATATTATTATTCCGTAACATTTTGCTGCGTCCCATAAATATTGTTACAGAAAGACCCTATCCCGACCCATGTACCACTTATAGTACAAGCAACCCCCAGAAGGAATTGCGATAGACTTACCTTTTATCATATCATAATTAAAATCAGAATCGCTTTCTGAATCGATTTAAGCTTGTCTGTCCGTCTGCCCATCTTCCTTTCATTTGTTTCCATCTACACGCGATCATTTTTGAGATACTTTGATGAAATTTGGTATACCGGGGTATTTTGATTTAAAGATAAACACTGTCGAAAATGGTTAAAGTCGGACCATTTCCCTTATGAATAATTGTATTAAGCAAATTGGCTTAGCGTATTTAACGATGGACCATTTTTCACTATAGTGTTTTGACTTTTTAGGCGTTTACAGTGGTTTTTCTCTTTAAAAAAAATTCCAAAAAAAAAAAAACAGACCTTTTCAATATGACTTCTATGATATACTTGTTAAGCGATTTTGAGCTGAACTTATATTCCAAAGAAAAATTGCCGCAAGTATTCTTACAATAGTTTGTACATATTTTGTTCTTTATTTTATTAGATATATATGATCATTTTATAAATAAAATTATTGTAAAACATACGTTGCACAGGTATATCATACTTTCGGACAAGTGAATATTTGAAATCAATGCAAAATTTATGGACGGAGAGAATGTTTATTTTTTCATTTACATATATATATACAAAAAAAAAAAAAAAAATTTCTAAGTTAATTTCAACTAAAAGCTCCTTAAATAACTTCACACTCATCTATACATATGTACACATATACACATACATATGTGTATATATATATATGTACATATATATATAGAGAGAGAGAGAGAGAGTGTGTGCAGAGGAACATTGGATATGCGTACAGCCAGTTGGAAAGACAATATGCACGCACACACACACACACACACACACAAAGACACAAATACACAATCATTTTTGCTCTTGATCGTCAGTTAAACGTTCACCTGGTTGGGGTTATATCAAAAACGGAAGAGGAAGAGAAAACAAAATAAAAGAAATAATGATAAAAAAGAAAAGAAAAAAAGGGCAAAATGAACCTTCTTCGCGATTTTCGTACGCCCAGAATTTATGAAATTCAATTAATATTGAGACAACCGTTTCCGCTTGACCGCTAAAATGAAAACAAAAACCAAAAATAAGGTAAATGGAAGAAAAGTAATATATATATATATATATATACATATATATATAGGAACAAAAATAACACAGACTGCAAATGTAGAAAAAAATGGTTAAAAAATGTATTTCTGCTGAAAAAGCTCAAATAGTTTTCTTTTCCATTCCTGCTACATGTTTTTTTTTTTCTTTTTTGCCTTTTTAATTAATAACGGTAGAAATTAAATTTATATGCACGACTGATAAAAAATGTGAGATAAACGTAAAGTAATTGCATACACAAATAGATATCAATGGCAGTGATAGCAAAGACAGTGCAAAAGGGAGAAAGAGAAAAGAAGAGATATAATAATAATAATAAAAAAAAATGAAAATCAGGAAAAACGGCACAGTTTAATGTAACTATAATGTTATATGCTTGTGTTAAGTTAAAGAACATCGTTACGAAAAAGTCATTTGAATGTATGCTTGTTGAAGGCAGAAACCATTCAAAAAACATAGGCAGAGAGAAAGCGAGGTTATGATAAGTAGCACTAGAGTTGGATGCATACCATATATCTATGCATGTAAGCTCTTGCACCAGTATCGGTGCAATGTTAGCTAAAAACAGGCCTTTTTTACATATACATGCATATACATACAATAATGTGAATGATAATGATGTTGAAAGTTACGAAAGCCAAATGAAAATGTTTTAATGCAAAGTGCCTTAAATGTGTTAAGTAAAATAACGAATAATATGTAAAAAAGAAATAAAAAAAAAAAAAAAAAAAAAACGTAATGTACGTAAACTAGGGCAATATCTCAGAAACCCCGTGCATGAATATACAAATATATTTGCATGTATTTATATTCGTTTTGATTTTAAGACATATCACCGTGAATCACAGCTACAGTATCTTAAGTATGCTAAGATGGTATATATATAAACGTATTCACGTACATAGCGACAAAACTACGGTATTTATTACAGAAAAAATTAAAAAAAAAATTATAACTTATTTCGTGCCATTAAAAAGTTTTAGAGTTATTTACAATTTCCTTCTTTTTCTCACTCATTAGAATAATGTTAAAATGAAAAAACACTACAAAAAAAAAAAAAAATTAAAATAACATGACTTACCAGTTAATTAAATCCTGCAGTGTTATTTTGCAAGGATCTTTTGATTTAACCATATCGAAAATTTCATCTTTTAAATCTTCAAAATTAACCGCTTCAGCGTTTACGGCTCGTATTTGCTCTTGTATGCCTTTGAAAAAGTAATGTAATGTTTGTACCGTTAGATAGCCCTTATGTTGGACATCGAGTATGCGGAATAAATAATGCAATGATTGCGGTTCATGCTAAACAAAACATATAATGCGTAGGTTAAAGGTATTTTGTTTCATATGCAGCAACAATCCATTTCTGTTCAGTATAAAGACAATGCCAATGCAAGAGAGACTTACACGATTATCTAAAGCCAATACAAAATCCAAAAAGGTTTTATAGTCCATTTCACCATCAAATGTCCGACATTCATCAAATACACGATCCAAAAATACTGAGGTTAACGTACCCGAGCCATAATCGGCCAACTCTTGTTTACTTAACATACCGTTATGATCCTTATCGAGGTTTAGATAATTACCATAGACCGTTAAAACTGATGGCATCGAAAACCAATTGTGTTCATGTGATTCCTTGGATGATTCTTCATCACGCAGCTCTAATAATTCGGTTAATAGTCCCGACGCCAATATATCGCGTATACGTATACGGCCAGTATGTAAAGGATCCAAAAAGAAAAAGAATTTCTTAACCACCGTACACACGTAGAAACTTTGAAATGACGGTTGAACACAACTGCTAATTTGTGCTAAAGTTGGTATAATGTCAATAATATAGTTCTCCATATCGATTTCTCTTAAGAAACCCTGACCGACATCATCGTAAAATGATAAACCTATGCGACCTTGCGTTAACCAAACTTTCCGCATAGTATAATTAAATATGGAAATGAGTTCAACTTTGCCAGGATAACCAGAATGACATTGCAATTTGGCAAAAAGGCGCGAAGTTAAATATTTGCGACTCTTCGGGCTAATCGTTTTCATTACTTTTAGGTAATCGTCATAGCCTATTAACTGTTGACCCAAAGGTGTAACTTGAGTGCAATTTTTCTCCAAAATCGTCCACAAACTATTCAATTCTTCATTGTCCAGTAAGTCTTGGGAACGCTTCTGCAAAAACAGTGAATGAGCCTCCTTGCGTAAACTTTGTCTTAAGGAATTTGAAGGTGACGGAGGAGCATGAAAAAATTTTGGTATAGTTGTATAAGTTGGGTGCGTAGCTTTGTTTATATCATTTAATGGTTTCAGCAAAGAATCTTCATCAAAATTTTTTAACTCTTCTTCACTGGGCTTGTTCGATGACACCTCAAGTTCTTCGAATTCTTTCACAATATCTGGATCAATTTCCATGATTTTATGTAAAATTTTTAAAAATTTATTATAAATTTATTTTACTTTTTATTTTTGCTTTCATTTAATATTAAAAACAAAATTTGATAAATTTATGCTTCTAAACAAATGAATATCAAACAGCTGTTTATGTCACACATAATTTAAACACAG